AAGCACCTCAGACCAATGAAATTTTCATTTAAAAAAAAAAACAAAAACAAAATAGAATGCCTGAGCCCTGCCTTATCCAATAAACACACGTCTTATGCAACTGTCACCAGTGTTTTTGGCTTTCCTGTTTCAGGATTTGGTGACTAAAAAGAAAAAAAAAGGCAGAGAGAGAATTTCCTTTCTAATTCACCCTCCAACAAAAAAGAAATGGTAGGAATGCTTGTGAGAAGTCTTCTTAGTTGTCATGATAATTTTTGAAGGGGACAAATTTCTCTTCCTGAGCAGGTCTGCTGGAGGGAAGATGGGGACTGAGTGGAAGAGAGGAGCAGAGTTTCCTCTGCTGTAGAGGGGGGTTTCTCCTTCCTTCAGATTTCATGCTGAAGGTGGGTAAGAATTGCTGTCTACAGACACACCAACCCAGCCTGCTTCCCTATGCCAGAAAGCACATGGGTTATAGGTAAAAAGAATTTTTTTTTCCTTTAATTTTTACATATAGATACAGGTACAGGTATAGATTAGATAGATATGGGGGGGAGAGAGCACATATAGATTAGATATAGGTATAGATATGGATATAGATATCAATCTTTCTGAAAGCTTGAGACCACTGCTTGGGCTCTGCTTGTGTAAGAAGGTGGCGACATCTATGTGAACACATAATGCATCATTGAGCTCCTTTCAGATCACAAACTCACTTTACATTGTCCATGCAGCCTTGGCTATGAAAGGTGGACTCCCAGGCCATACTCTGGCATGGCTGCTTAATCCTCAGCACCCGCAGCTATAGTGCGACAATACGAAATTGGGGGGTCTGCTGCCATTCGGCAGAGCTTCAAGTCAGAGGGACCTTGGGAAATCTGAGGGTTGGGGCCAACGAAAACCCCATCTTTTGAAGAAGTGGCTCAGGGGAGCCAGAGGAGACAGGCAGTGCTGGGGGCGGGGGGGGGGTTGGGGGGGAGTTTAAATCAACCAGAAATTCTAACTGGCACCACATGGCAGCAATTAAAAATACACAACAATTTTAACAGCTAATTTTCAATTAAAATTAATATCAAATCTCCCCAAGTCCATCACATAAGTATAAGCAATAGCAGTAATTTTTCTGTTTCACTGTGAAATGAGAACATATGGAGAAGTTTCAGTCAGAAGAAATGACTGGAATTACTTAACATATCGAACACGACATAAAACTTGTGGCAGTACAAACCTGGCTGTATGCGTAAGTCTCTGCCTCAGAAAGGTCTCATAATTCAGTACAAGGTTGCAATGATAAGGAGAGCTGGCTTACAGAGCTGGGAAAAGCAGCAGCTATAACTACAGCTGGTGAGTAACAGCATCCAAGGACTGCGCATGAATGTTAGTGGAGGAAGCTTTTTCCATTTCCTGTACAGTTAATGTTAATGTATTCACATGATTTCACAAGGTGAATAAAAATAGACAAAGGCTTACACAGAAAGATTTAAAACCAGCAAAGTGCTCTTACCTGGACCTCAAAGTTGCATGGGAGCCCATCTGCCTTTGGAGTGCCGAGATCCTCAGCAGCCTTATGGCTGCTCCACTCAAAACTTTGCATTTCATAGAAATTTGGGGGTTTTTAAAGAGGCCTGTCTGTTCTTTTCAGGGATCAGATGCCACATTGCAATGTCATGGCACTTGCCACGTAGAGGCTTTACTACGCTAGCACCAGAGAGGACATTGCCGGGATTTATGAGGTGTTGGTATTAATTGTTGCTATAACTGTGCTCAAGTAGGTCAAAGGTATGTTTGAAATGTTTAAATGATCCATTAAAATGAAAACAAAATGGCATAATCAGTGCAGGCTGTCTGCCAGAGGCTGTCTGAGCCCCTCACGGCAGTGGCAGTGCATGGCTGTCCCCAGCACCTGGGAGCCGCGCCCCACGCAGTGCCTCGGCCCACGTGTCTCTGGCCGGTGGTCCCCCATGGCCAGCCCCGGTTTGACCCACCACAGCACTTGCCCCCGAGCTTGCTGGCTCTGCTGGCTCCGGAGCCAAACCAGCTGCTCCTGCCTCTCAGGGCTCTGCAGGAAATATATAAAATTATCCATCCCCCCACCCCTCTCCTGTGGGCTAGGCACATCAGCGCAGCTGGTCAACATGACCCTTGTATAGCCTTTCCATTTACTTCATCCCTCCTTCCCTGCATCACCCTGCGAGCTCTCCCTCGCCCCCAGCCTAGAGCACCCTTTGCAAGGAGCCGGTGCTTCAGCCACACCTGGTTTGCCCCAGGTGAGAATTCTGGTACCGAATACACCTTGCTGAAAAAAATACCTCATGATTCCTGTTGCTGCAGTAAAGGATTAGCCAGGGTCATGACCAGTAATACTTGGGTGGGTCATCTCCATGTTGCCTTGCGTGAATCAAGCAAGTTGCAGCAACTCCCCTCCAGGAGGGACAATAAGGGATGTGTCAGAAAGAGTGGAGCTGTAATGCGCGTGCCCCGACAAGCAGCGGGCTGTGGCTGAGGCTGGATCTACCCATGGCCAAATTTAGGCCTATTGAGAAACAGTTCAGACATCCTAGGAGCATGAGAAACAGCATCAGGAACCAAAGGAGCGCTTCTTGTTAGGAAGAAAACTGCCCCCCAAGCATCTGTACATGACTTATGGTATCGCTGTTTGAATTGATGCCCAAATGAATGTGTTATTGCTTCCCAGTTGGAGTCAATGGGAATGTTTTGGAGCAGCAAAGGCAGGATCAGGCCCCTTTCCACCTGCCAGTTATCCTCTCTATTTCACTGTGCGTGCAAGGGTAGACATGCTCTCAGGCAGGGCAGTGCTGCCAGCCTGCTGCATTGGCTGTGCAGCCCTGGGGGAGGCACGGTCACTTTTCAGGTGTGAAGCCATTCCCGTCACACCATAGCTATTTGATTCTAGCTACAATAAGATGTTGTGAAGGTAGGTGCCAATGGAAAGAGCATGGCCATCCTTCACACTTTTGAACTTTTTGAACTTTCAAGGCAGTTGCAAGCAAAATTTCAGAACATTTTTTACCTTTCACTATGCTAAAGATAAAAAGTGATCCCTTACGTCTGGTTATAGCAACTACCTCCCAGAACAGACACCAACTGCTGCGTGCTGGGTGAGACCACAGCTTTGAAAACAGACATGAGAGCGAGGAAGAGCACGTGGACTATGAAGACCAGTTAGTCCTGTTGGGTGCCAAGGGGAGCTCTGAAGCTGGGAACCAGGAAGCCCATGACCCACCGCTGTGCTGATCTGTGGTGGCATTTGGGTGGGAAACAGCCCCAGAAGGCTTGGGGGGCTTTGCCCATGACTGGAGATCACTGAACAGGTGAACAGCCCCTTGCTTTTCATCTTTCCAAAGCAAAAAGCAGCAGAAATGGGTAGTACAAACCCTGTTGCCTTGAGTGCCCTGTGAATTTTGGGGGTAAGGGAGTTATGGGTGAGTTCATACTGTGCAATTGCACAGTGCTGGCTGTTTCCTTCTTATTTTCTGCAAAGGACAGGGAAAAAAAGTCCCTTGCTGCTGGTAAATGTATGGCCCTGCTTTCAGTGTTATGCAAGATTAGGATTTAACATTCACATATTTTTGTTGTGTAAGCTACTTAGGCAGAAAAGGTCACACTGGACAGATCATTTGAAACAGATGAGAAACATTTGCCAGTAGGGTGAATGCCAGTTCCCAAGTGCTAGAACTAGGTCAGTTCCTGAGAAAATTAGGTTGGAAAAAAGCATAATTGGGATTTGCAACAATAGGGTTCCATGACACAGCTGACAGCGCTGGAGCACGCGGGAGGAGCAGCGAGTGCAGCTCCATGCTGAAAAGCACCTGCCCAACCAGCCTCCTCCCGCCGCCCTCCTGCCCAAACCAGCTCCCCTTGCAGACTACAGATGCTTTTCTTTTCCTCTCCTTGCGCCATTGTGCTGGTACCTGATGCTCGTGCTGTGTTCCTCCCCCTGCCAGTGTTAATGCAATCCCCACACTTGTCCCTGAGGAGGAGATCAGCTGAGGGCAAGCGGGGGAGGATCCATGCCCTGTTCCCACAATGCTGAGTGGAAGCCCTGCCTGTGGGTGGGAGAGAGAATAGTGGCTCAGGGCACCCCTCTGCAAAGGCCATGTGCTCAGACCTTGGCTTGTACTGACCTTACTGGCTGTAGCTGTCAGCAATGCCCTAGCAAGCTGTGGGAAACACAGTGCAAATCCCTGCACATGCTGGACCAGACCCTCATGGCCTTGAGCTTGGGGCAGGGACAGGCAGGTGATTTGCTTCTTACTAACTATTCTGCAAACGGGGTTGCAGAGTTTGCAAAAAAACTCCTACATAAGATGACAAGATCATGGAAGAAGGGGGCAATAAAAATATACCTGCTCTGGCTCACCAGCAAGCCCTGCACGCAACTGGGAGGGTGCCTTGGCAAACCCCTGTGCACCAAGCTGCCGCTGAGCACCACGGCTGGCATAGCTGCTGGCTGGGCTCAGCCACACGCTGCAGTGCCCTGTGCTTAGCTTTCCTCAGAGCCCCATGGTATTGGCAGCAAGACAATACCTGGGCAAAGCCACAGGATTTTTTCCTCTTCACATGGCTGCCTTTCCTATTAAAACTGTATTTGGATGCAC